TGATTGTATGACATTTAAAAACTGTCAACTAACTTCAGCCCGTGACTAAAACCCTGTCGCTAACTGTAGCCCGTGACTAAAACGATTTAAAAGATCACTTAGTGTCATGGAAACATGTACGATAATGAGCGTTTTAAAGGTGGGAGTAGAAACTAGTATTTTATCTATCAAGTTTGATAAACGCCAATTTAGTCACAAATTTAATTTGAGTACGAGCTTGCGAACGTGTGCTTAATAAAATGAGTGTCTAAAAAAGTTTATAAAAGGGTTGCATACTATAATTTTTCTACAGCATATACTTATTATTATCTAAAAATGATTTAAATTTAATATTTGTATAGAGCTATAAAACAATAGGGTAAACATTTTTGGAAATCTGTATTACCGGCGCGCCGTTAAAAATGTCAAATATTTATGTTTAAATCAAAATGTATCCCTTGAAAATGGACCATTTAAATCCGATATAGAAGCAGTTTTTCACAGTGAAAGTAAAGAAAATGTTTTATGGGCGGGTCAGTACAATGTTTATATGAACTTCTTAAATATTGGTGTTAAAAAACTATTTAATACTTTTGTATTGATATAATAAATAATAATAATAATTTTTACATTTAGTATTATTTTACAAGAAGGGCACTTTATTTTAACGTCATCTAACTTCCCGTGACTAAAACGCCATAAAGACACAACTTGTCAATTTGTATTTAAAAGGTCACTTAGTGTCCTGGAAACATGTACGGTAATGGGCGTTTTAAAGGTGGGAGTAAAAAAAATATTATTTTATCAATAGTTTTACCCTATCATGTTATTGGTTTATTGAAAATGTATAAATTGATACTTATTATATTTAATGTGTTTTTATTATTATTATTATAAACATAAATGACATTGCAGTATTAATATTTTGTACTGAAAAATACTTTGTATTGGTTTTATAAAATGGTTTACAAATTGAAATTTGAATAAGATAAATAATTAAAATAAAAACATAAAATAATTGTAACCAATATAACCGCGGCGGCTGATTTTAATATTCACTGTGATTTAAACCAATCGTTTTTTAAATTTGTAAAAAGTGAGGTTGGAATTTTTTTAACATATGTTTTTTTATATATACGAGGGGTGACTATAATGATCATTAAAATCGGGAGAAAGTGAGGTTATAAATTTTGCCATCAATAAAAATTACCTATCCCACTATACCCACTCGGATGATTGACGTATCTCGCCTAACGGCTCGAGGCGAAAATTTGATCCTCGTGAATTATCTCTCGTATAATAATATGTATACTATTATATTGCCGCACTAAATTATATAATAAAAAGCTTTATATGGATTATTCAAAACACTTTTTGAGTTATTTTGCCCCTTTAAAGCTTTTTATTTTGTGTTCTTTTTAATTATTCTTGATTTTTTCGAAAAAAAATTTTAATTGTGGAATCCTAACTGCTTTTTATTGACCCTTTTAAAGCACTTTTTAATGATATTGGACGCTTTTAAAACAAATTTGATTATAAAGTTACTTCCATAATATAAATACATGTAAGGCGTATTTATTAGACATTAAAAAATGTGTTAACAATGACCATTCATATGGGAAAATGAACCTGAATTGTAAGTTCATCATTTATTTTTTATTATTATAAAGTCCCTATTTATTAGTGATTAATAATGGTTTCGTAGTACCTTATGTAAAGTCAAAATGTGTTATAATGCAACTTTTTGTATTCCCAACATCTGTTTTGGGTCATGTTTATAATTAAATCAATCCAATCGTTCAAAAACCGCGGTTATAAGAAGTAAAAGATTTGGTTCGTATTTTTAGGAAGACCGCATACGTTTTTTTACTTCATAATAATAATAATAATAATAAATTTATTTGCCCAACAGAAAAAAATCCAATTACAGGACAAAGAACAAAAAATAAAAAAAATAAAACTATAGTAACAGCATAATAGCAAAAATATAAAAGAACTTATACATTAGTAAAATAAGTCTATAAACAAAAATAAACTAATTAATGCTTAAAAAAGTACAAATAATAAATGACAATTTAGAATAGTTAATATCACACACGTGAGATATTTTATTAAAGTTGGTACACAAAAAAACGCTAGCATAGCATGAATGGGTGAGCCACTAAACCAATGGGATCTTGTAATCCGTATTCCTGAATAACAGTTCCTATAATACCAAAAGGTAGTTAGCACTTGGTTTATAATCGTTTACTGTTTTTAAATTAACAACAAAAGTTATGGCACCTAAATCTATTGATATTCATATTGATATTTATTTGTTAGAATGTTAGAATGTTATTGCATTAAATACTAATTTGATTTATTTAATAACTTTTCTATTGTATGTATACTATGTATACATTTAACGCAATAAATTATTTGACATTTAGGCAAAATATTTCCCTATTTTGGTTTAATAGTAATTAATTGAGCAAATAACAATTTAGATTGCTTCAATTTTAATGCCTTCAATGACAGCGCTGTTCTTGGTACTATGTTAGATTTTTTTATGTGTACACATAACAAACATTGGCGACCGCAAAAGTACATTTGTACGAGAAAAACATTTAAAGGTTGAAACTGACCTAGAATGAATACGCGGAACATGGAAACCGCTCAAGCAGATCTGGACAGTCAATCTTATTTGGACAAGTTTGTACAAAAATTTAATTGAAAACATATTCCTCCTAACATCTAGTGCTAAAATATTAAATTCCTGCAATAACAGATTGTGTTCATATCCCCCCTCTGGATAAGTATTGTGTTTTTTAATATATAACATTTTCAAAAATCGACGTTGAACTGCATCAAGTGATTTGCAGTGATTCTGATAATAAGGATAACAAATATTAGAACAATATTCAAGTTTAGAACGAACTAAACTGACTTTAGTGCAAACATATTTTTAAAAGATTTACAATTTCGATAAATAAAACCCTATTAGCAGAGTTACAAATATTTTGAATATGATTTACAAAGCTAAACTTACTATCAATCAGAATTCCAAGATCTTTGACTAAGCTAGAACGGGACAATGAGATATGTTCAATATTATAGTTAAACCTAATTGAATTAAGTTTAAGAGTAAACGAGCAAACTTTACATTTAGATATGTTTAGGCATAAGAAAAAAATGACAATAGAATGTGAAACAAGGATGGTTAGATTTTTCTCTTTCTTGCAATATCTACCCCATCTGTTATACTTATGCAATCGCCTATAACTCTTTCTCACTTGTAAAGTGTTCTAGTAATATTTCGTGAAACTCACCACAAGCCGAGAGGTCGTGGGTTCGAATCCCACTAGGAGTAAGGCTGTTTATTTGTGTTTATCCGTGTATTTCTGTAATTGGGCCCACACCTGTTAAAAGCACAATAAAACTAAAATAAAAACACATTAAAACTAAAATAAATAAATAAAAAAGTGTTAATAATGGCGAATGCACCGGGATTAAATCGCGTCTTCCTTAGTTAGAAAGTCATATCTGTTCATAAATCATAAATACAAATGTTGTCTATTTTTATTGTTCTAAGAGCTACTAGGGTTCTTAGGAGCATCGGTATTGGGGATTTTTTATTTTAGACTGTTGGCAACTATTTTAATCTTAGTTTAAAACTGTCAACCCTAGACTTCGGCTGTCATTGACAGCCTGTCAACGATTTGTTTAAAACCCATGTTTCTGGGTTATTAATCTATGTTTCGAGATAACCGCCATTGGAAAACTTCCACGGGAATTTTTAAATCTTGAGACATACCCTAAATCTGTTGTATAAATCACAAAATACCTCGCTAAAAGGTCCAAGCTGACGATATTGTCTAAAAATGCAGGTATATTTTCATACCGGGACTTTAATATAGAAATAAAACTTTGTTTTTAAGTTTTTTTATTTTACTGATGCGGTTGTATAACTTGGTATCACAATAAGGGCCTTGAAACATTTTTTTACAATATCCTATTGCTTTTTCTAACTGCGCATTTTAAGCGTAACCTCTGGTTTGTTAATTATAGTTTTTACATTAAAAAACAAATTAGTTTTCCTTAGAAGGACTTATTTTTGTCACCAGTTTCTTGATCTACAAACTAAAATATTCACAATAGTTTAAAAAGTTTAAGAGCAATGTTACAGTACATTTAATTCTCTACATCAAGTCTTATTTTTTTATTATAAAAAGTATAGAATGCACCTCGTTTCTAAACTTTTCTAGACACTCACACTAAATTAAATTCGTGTCTAAAATAGCGTTCATCAAACTTTATACATTAAAAAGTACTATAGTACTATTTGGGTTAGCTTAAAAAGTCAAAATAGGTTTAAAGCGTACTTAAAGGACAGTTTAGGTCGGCAAGAAAACCATAGGTTTTAAGATAAAATTAAAACCTTTTAAGGACACAACAAAATATAATAAGAGAAACTAGGATTATAAATGGATGGTATTCTTAAAAGCAAAGTAGTTTTAAAACTCTTTGTACAATATTGCCCCACTTTAAAACAAAAAATAATAGCTACTATAAAAAAGTTATTTTTCATAAAGCAATAATAAAACAATACTACTTTTAAAATTATAATAAGATAATTTAGCAATATTAAGATTTGACTAAAGTCCAAATAAAGTTATTGTAGGAGTAAATACTCTTAAAAGCCAAATGTTTTTAATGTGAAGCCTTTAAGATAGCTACAAAACTTTTTAAAACATCTTCTCCCAAAGTCATTTATGAAGACCTTTTTAAAACATTTTGCATTATTTCAGTCATAATAAAACCTTTTTAAAACCAATTCAAGTCAAGGTTACTTGGGATTGACACATATATTTATAAAAAAAACAAATTTAACGGGATTAAAAAAGTTCGCTTGGTTGACTTTAAAACACAAAGTGGGTTATGATAAATGAATTTTATGTATAATAACCTTAAATTGTCTTTATTATTAGTATAATGATTAAGAATTACCTAAGTATTAATATTGGTTATGTTATATTTTTCAGCAGACATGACGTAATAGGAGAAAGGGTAGATTTTCATCATGTCATCAAAGGAAAAAACAGCCCGAAGTGTCGCTCTAGAACAGACTTACGTCCACGATGTCTACGAGCAGCTGGACGCTGAAGGGCTGCATAACGAACCGTGGCCAAAAGTAGAACAATTTATAGACGAACTCGAACCCGGGTCTATCGTATGTGATATAGGTAAGAGCAAAATTTGTATCTTTTTCGCAATAAGCAGTATTTATGTTGGATAATAAGGTCGTTATAGTCTTCTCTTTCTTAGATTTTATTAAGGGTATCCATTAAGGTGTGTCATTTTTAAGCAACTTTTTTTTTCAACTAAAAAACAGGCTAAAAACTTTCAGGAAGGTGAAAAAAGAAACCTCTAAAAATTTTAGCTCTTAATATTAACATTAAGTGGTGCCTGTTCCTAACTTTCCATTTTCCATTTAAATAACATGGAAATTTTTCTTTTCTTTTTTCTTATTTTTGTAGCTTGATATTTGAGCATTGTAAAACAAACTGAAAAATTATTTTCGTAGGAAATTAAACGCTCTACAAAAAAGTTTCAATATATTTTTTCATAGAGTGAGCCGTTCTGAAGGTATTCTTTAACATTTCGAATCGCGGCACGTTAGCGTGCCTCTAGTCACTGTGTAATCCGAACGGTAATATACCGACTGAGCCGATATCAGAGTTATCGACTTTAAAATTATAAAAAAAGAAAGATTAAAAATTCAATACAATAACAAATTCATTGTTTTATTTAATCTATTATAATTATTGAACAAATTTATTGAACACAAATAACTTTTTTTGATAGTAAATAAAATAAATTGTTTTTAATTATTTTTTCTTAATAATATATTATGTATCAAGTTTTATAAACGCCATTTTAGTTACGAATTTAATTAAGCACGAGTGAAGCTTGCGAGCGAGTGTTTAATAAAAACGAGTGTCTAGAGAAGTTTATAAACGAGTTGCATACTATACTTTATCTACGACAAACACAAAACAGAATTTAAAGCCAATTGGACGGCTTTCTGCAGAATGGGACCAACCCACACCATGATGAAACTGAGAAAAAAGCTATCAAAGATTTTAATAATTTTAAAATTACCTGTTAATTTTATGCCGATTTTGGACTTACGGAGGTTTAAAGGATATAATTTAATAATTTCATCAGGTGGATTTTGTGATGTTATGTGTAAGGGTGACGAAAAAAATGGGCTTTTGTTGGTTGGTTTCTTTCTGCAATTTATGAAAACTACTATCTGATGTATGTATGTATTTAAAGAAAAGCGATAATTATTTATTTCCAAACAAAATACAACTGATATTACTATTATAATGGTAATATGAATTAATTTTGATTCTATTTGAAATTCGTTCACATCATCTTCCAACCCCACCTCATCTTGTAAGCTACCAAAAAAATGCATCAAGACTTTATATTTTGCAGAAGCAGGAAATCTTTAAAGACTTTGGTAGTGGGTCTACCAGCCTGCTTTTTTACAAAAAAGATCCAACCCACTTGCAGATACTGTACAGATTCTAATTTTGGATTAGTAATCCACACTATTATTGAATGTTGGTTGGTTCAATGATTAATAGATTTCACTACACTTGCATTTTGGCTATGACCTATTTTGCAGATAAATTATACATACTTAATTAGTTCATAGGCTAAATATCTCGATTTTTTGGTTTTGTGGGTTGGTTCCTTTCTGCAGAAAGGCGTCCAATTTTATTTGTTAAAATTTTGACATCTGTCAACTGTCACCCGAATTTAACCTCACAACTTCAGCCCGTGACGTAAAATGTCGAAAAGCCACTGTTGTTAACTTCAGCCCGTCAATAAAACGCCATAAAGTTACAGCTCGTCAATGTAGGAGTAGATAAAATAATTTTTAAGACATAAAAAGTATTAGTTTAATAAAATAAAAGTCATAATTTCATACATTTGCAAGTTTGAATACCTTCAGAACGGCTTACTCTATGAAAAAATAATTTAGTACTTTTTTATAGAGCGTTCAATTTCCTACCAAAATAATTTTTCAGTTCGTTTTTACAATGCTTAAATGTCAAGATACAAAAATAAGAAACAAGAAATTTTTTTCCATGTTATTTAAATGGAAAATGGAAAGTTAGGAACAGGCACCACTTAATGTTATTATTAAGAGCTCAAATTTTTAGAAGCTTTTTTTTTCACCTTCCTGAAAGTTTTCAGCCTGTTTTTAGTTGAAAAAAAGAAGTTGCTCAAAAATGACACACCCTACACAGTAAAAAAATATTTGTTAATTTGAAGCAAATAATAACCAGATTTTATGTTTATCCAGGTCCACATAAATGTATGTTAAGTTTACAACCAACTGTACTCTATAAACTTATTGAATAGTAGATTTGTAGACTTAATAACAAAGTTCTATGTCAATAATTTAACCATAATTCTTGTAATTTTCAAAAAGGACCTTATTATTACAAACATTTTTTGATAAGAAATGCTGCTTTATTAATCAATTTCCTAAACAAAAAAATAACACATACCTACATAAATAAACACAAAAATAACATACGCACAATTAAATAACACACCATTCTGAAATCATCAAATTTTAAAGAAATTTGGTACAATATAACTATCAGTACTACTATAACTGTATTTTGTAACTTTATCCCTCTTCACTGTATGAAAACCAATGATCTTTTTTCGCTAAGATTTATATGTTAACAATAGTATATTTTGCTTCGTAAAAAAAGATTTCTCGAGTGTGAAGTTCGACAACACGCGAGTGGAATCTCCTCTTTCGACCAAAAGTCGCAGATAATATTTAATTCAACTTCCGCAAGAAATATATATATGTATGTATATACATAACAGTATAAAACCGAATTATGAACATTTAAATAACCGAAACAATTATGGCGCATTTTATTGAATATCTGACATGTGACATATGTCAGACAGTTTCAACGTCACGTTATTCTATTTTTACTGTTTGCAAGTTATTAAACGAGTGAGAAAAGTGGCCATTTCCATGAAAATGAAATATTGCTACACATTCATCCGAATGTAAATGCCAAGAGTTGAATACAGTTTAAAACTGAGCCACTTTCTTAGTTGAATATAGTATAAAAAATTTAAAAATTCTTTAATATGATTAGAAGAAAACCATTTTATAACTTTTAACGAAAACTCGTATAGCATAATCGGTAGTTTATACCTGCTTTTTTAGTTTATTTTAATACTGAATAATCACACATACTTTAATTTTTATAAACAAAATATTATTTAGTTGATTTTTCAATATTTTTAGGATGTGGAAATGGAAAATATCTCGATATAAATAAATCAATTTTTAATATTGGAGCAGAAAGATCCTTTAAACTAAGTAATATAGCTAGAGAAAAACAAAACGAGGTAAGTTATAATAAAAACATAAAAACCTTATAATAAAAATTTAATTTTTAATTTAAAAATTTAAAAAATAAGTATTTCAAAAAAATATTTTTTATTTTGTATTTAATAATTTCTTTGTTATAGTTAGTTATGTTGGTTGGTTGGTTGGTTGGATACGATTTGGCAGGCAATAAGCATTCACTTCTTAGCCACAGATATTGTTAGTTATGTTAAAGTTAAAGTTCTTAAGAATTGGTACTGCTTAGTCTATATTAATTTGTAGTAATTCTTCCATTCCAATATTTAATATCCATTTTACCTATTTATTCTAAAAAACATCCAAATATCTTCAGTTTATATTTTTAGACCATAAATTTGTATAAATGTTTCTGGCATCGACGACATTAAAAGTAGTAAAACAGTAAAACGCATTAAAACATAAGTTTCGATTAAAAATGGACCAACGAAAAAAATTTTAATTTTAATTTTGTTGATTTTATGTGTGGGACAAGTTAATCCATTACTTAATAGGTAAATTAATAGTTATTTATGTATCAAGGCAGTAAAGTCGTATTTTAACTTTAATGCCGAGGTGCATATTAAATTTTATCCGAAATCACATTTAATAATACTAATAATTAATATGGATGATTAAATCAAATGTCATTTGATGATCAAATCAAATGTCATTTGAATGTAAGAAGTGTCTACGTACATTGAGCGCGTTAAACCCCCCCTGTTAACTTTTGAACCAAAAAAGATATCGATGTCGGACAAAGACCAGGGTAAACAATATTGTGTTTACTATATTGGTATGGGTATTTAAAACAAAAAAGTTGGCAAAAAACGCATAATTATTGCACTAGTTTGCAATAATTCGCACTCTGCGAAAATTTGAGTAGAAGCGACAAAAACGCTTAATAACTAAGCTATGGTTAAACGGATTTTAAAAACAAAAAAAGTGTTATATAGAGAATTAAAATACCTTTCAAATGAGGTATCACAAGCACCCCCTTTCCATTTGAAATTTTTAAGTTGATACTGCCCTCTTGGCACTTGTTAGGCAAAAATTTGACGTCAAAAAGTAGTAAACACAATATAGTTTACCCTGGTTTTTGTCCAACATCGATATCTTATTTGGTTCAAAAGTTAACAGGGGGGGAATTTTAACGCGCTTACTGTATACTGTATATTAGGGTGGGCCAAAAAAAACTTTTAATTTTTTTTTCCTTAGTTACCATGAAAATATCGTCCAAGATGACGAAAAAAAATTCTGATAAAGTTTGAGCTCTTAATATTAATATTAAGAGGTGGCTCATCGCGATTTTTTATTTTCCATTTAAATAACACGGGAAAAATACATTTTTTTGTTTGGAATTTTATTGCGTTTTAACGAATCAGTGAGTTGTAGAAATCAATACACATTCTGGTAGGGAATTGAACGATCTACAAAAAAGATCTGATATGATTTTTTGCTTAGTCAACTCGTTTAAAAGTTATTTGAGGTTAAAGTTCAACCTCAAAAAGTAAATGAAGACTTTTATAGTTTTTCATACTCTATTACGAAATATTGGCTCAAAAATATGAAAAATCATATTTTTCGTGAAATTTATCGAGTGTCCTTCGGTAAAACAATATATTTTTTACGAAATATCAATAATCGTAAAAAAACGTTTTTTTTCTATACTTGATTTTTTTTAAAAATCGATTTTTTTTTACTTAAGTAAAAAGACACAAAAAATTAATCATTTTTTCAAAAAATAATAAATATTCTATTTACACTTGACTATTAGGTAATAAAAGCCATGTTTCAGTAATTTATCAATTAAAATAAACATTTTTATTTTAATTGAAAAATTATTGAAACATGACTTTTATTACTCTACATTACCTAATAGTTAAGTGTAAATAGAATATTTATTATTTTTTAATGATTATTTCCCTCATTATAATTTGAACCAATCAAAAGCCTTGAATTTTCAAATAAATTTCGTTTAAATAAGCGATTAAATCACTAGAACTATTTAACAGCAATTAAATTTTAGCCTCCATATTGGATTTTTGTTTACGATTTTATGGTGTTATTTACAAGTTTTAACAAACATTTTTTAAAAAACAATAAAAAATAAGTTATCTAGTTTACGAAATATCAATTATTACTTATTACATACCTTAAATTAATGGAAATAATCTAGACGTATATCACTTAACCTATAAATTTAATCTGTCAAACTATGCTCAGTAAGTTTTTTATTTGATTTTTCTTTTTGGAAAATAGTTTCATGCAAAATAATTAAAAATAAAACCCCTCGACCGCTACGCGGTCTTGTGATTTTATTAAATTATTTTGCATTCAACATTTTCCAAGAAAAACCAAACAAAAAACTACTGAGCCTAGTTTAACCGATTAAATTCATAGTTCTCGTGATATAATATATGATTAATTTTTTTGTCTCAGGTAAAGAAAAAATTTCGAATTAAAAAAAAATAAATAAAGGAAAAAAACGTTTTTTTCAAGGTTATTGATATTTCATAAAAATTGTATTGTTTTACCGAAGAACACTCGATAAACTTCACGAAAAATATGATATTTCATGTTTTTGAGACAATATTTCTTGATAGAGTATGAAAAACTATAAGTCATCATTTACTATTTGAAGTTGAACTTTAACCTCAAATAACTTTTAAAAGAGTTGACTATGCAAAAAATCATATGAGATCTTTTTTGTAGATCGTTCAATTCCCTACAAGAATATGTATTGATTTCTACAACTCACTGATTCGTTAAAACGCAATAAAATTCCACAAAAAAATGTATTTTTCCCGTGTTATTTAAATGGAAAATAAAAAATCGCGATGAGCCACCTCTTAATATTGATATTAAGAGCTGAAACTTTATCAGAATTTTTTTTTCGTCATCTTGGACGATATTTTCATGGTAGCTAAAGAAAAGAAAATTAAAAGTTATTTTTGGCCCACCCTACTGTATATACTAATAAATAAAATTAACTTATTATTTTTATTAAACAACATTTTATGAAAAGGTCCAATCGACCTCCGCGATGGTGCTGTTTTTTAAATAAAATTTAGTTGCTGCTGAAGAGCAGTAGACACATCTTAAAATGTATAATGGGTTGCGTACATAACTCGTATTAAATCGGCAGTAAGGTTCTACTTTACTGACGATTTCTTTTACTTTACTGCCGATTGTTGACTACTTTACTACCAATTTCGGATAAATATAATTATTTAAATACATTTTTCCGGCGCATTCGCCATTTTTGCAAACATATTAATTGACAAATAGAAAGAGGCGGTTTAAATTTGTCAAAACGAATTAAAAAAATAAAATTCCTATATTTTTATTATTTTGGTAAATTTGGCAGCTCCATAAAAAAAGTTTTTAAATCAACCTCTTAAATCCCTTTGTCAAAAAATTATACTTTCAAGACTTTTTGTGTACCTATTAAAGTAAATCGATTGTATTAATTAAATAAATTTAAAATACAGATCTTTATCATAAACAGTATAATACAATAAAATTAAAAAATTATAATAGTTGACAAGCACATAATCTTTTATCTAAGAAAGTAGATGAATTAATCGGGCCAAAATTAGCTTTAATAACGCTTTTGTACAGTTAAATTGTTAACCAAGTTTTTTGGTAAAATGCATTTATCTTTATATACATTTTTTTCATTTTAGGTTATAATATTAGATAATTTATCTTTGCCTTTTCGCGACGAGAGCCTAGACGCAGTCATTTCCATAGCTGTGATTCACCATTTCGCTTCGACCGAACGAAGGGTCTGCGCCCTTCAGGAACTCTCTAGAGTGCTTAGGATAGGCGGCAAGCTCATTATCTCAGCCTGGGCCATGGAACAGAGCCATAGAAAATTCGAAACACAAGTACGTACGAATTAAACATAACATTTAATATTTAATGCCAACACTTCACTTTTTGGGTTGCCTGATTTATTTTAGAGTTGCAAGCTAAAAAAACAGTTTTTAATTTGAAATGACTATTTGTGATTTGATTAAAAATAAATGAATTTCATCTTTTTTTCACGTCATTTTAATAAAATTGAGATTTTAAAATAAAATTATGCATGTATCTAGGGCTAATATGTTTCTTCAGTTAATATAAGCATAATTTTCTAGTTAATTATTAACAATTTCCCCTTTGTTGACAACTTAAGCGGACACACTGTATAAGTAACCCGCGCAGCGCTAAATTTAGAGGAGAAAGGAAAGAACCGGCGAGCCCGACAAATATTTAAGGAATAGTATTTTCTGTAACAAGCATATTCCGCTCAAGTGAAAAGTTTGTCACACAAGCAGATTTTACGAGAGCGGAATATGCAATTCCAAATGTGTTTCAGACTATACTTTTTCTACGTTTCCAAAAATAATAGTTAAAAATAATTTAATTGGGAGAAAGTGAGGTTGGATCGGTCTAAAAGTTGTTAGCTATTAAACACAGAGATGTCGCCACCAGTGTTTATACCGTCATCCGATGATAACATTAAAAAGTGATATTAAAACGGTCATATTCCGCAATAGGAGTAGAATTTTATGTCTTCTAACATCAAAAAATTAAAGAGCAGGTTATAACGATTATAATCCTAAAATTGATTTGTTGATGCTTTTTGCCTTGGAGTAATAAATAAAATCAAACCATATCTACCTTTTTGATGCACTAAATTTAAAGCCGACCACCTCAGATTTAGAGGTTCTAACCGAAAAGAAGAAAAAACGCGTTTTGTTACATCACGAAATATTTTTCCCAGATAACTCATTAGTTCTACTCTTAGTTCTACTCTTTCTCTTTGAAATCTATCTCCAAGTCTTTTTAAAATCCTTTGATGGAAACGATGAATCTGAACCAAACTAAATTGTAACCAAAATTTTCTGAGGAAAAATAATAGTACTTTCAGAGGGAGTAGCGAGTTTTGTGAAGAAAAAAGTTCTTGTGATGTTATATAACTTTATATAATGACAAAAACAGCGCTTTTCTACTTTTGGTTTAAATTTATTAAAAAACTTATAAAGCAATTCAGAGATCAAATTCGGATTAAGCTTATCAAAAACCTTTATAATAAATCGTATTTTAATTTTTAGTGTATAGCATGCGGTTTTAATAGTAAGGGAATAATTCACATGGTGACGGTGTGATATTCACACTTGAGTTAATTTACTATATAAATGATTCAGATACTTAAAATGTAGCCTATTTATTTTTAAAAGTAAATTATTTATTTAGTCAAACGTGTAAAATTATTATTTGTTTTCCATTTAAATGAAAGGTGTTTTCTTATAAAAACGTTTGAACATAAAACAATGTTGAATTCAAACTATAAATTTTGAATTTTTAGTTTGATTTCAAAAAATTATTATATGTTTAAACGTTTTTACAAGAAAACACATTTTAGTCAAATGTAAAACAAGTAAAATGATTGATGGCGTTAAACCAAATTAATAATTTATTATTGTGACATTTATATCTCAAAAACAACCATTTGTATTAAACCTTTGAATAACCTTTGATATACAGAGTGTCTATTTAAAAATAAGTAATGCTCTATAAGTCTGGACCTAAAAAAAATCGAAAATTCCTCAAAACCGTTTCTAGGATATGACAAAATGACCTTCACTAAGCTACCCCTGGGGCTCTAGCCACCCCAACTCATTTTTTTTAAATGGCAACGTCCTCATTTGAAAGCCAAATAATTTTATTAATTTTTTTTCCGATTTCTCGTTAAAAATATCAAATTAAACCATTATATATCAAATTAAACTATTTTGTTGTCGTAAAAACATTAGTAAAAAAACTGGAGAACACAAAATAATTCTAACAAAAGCATAATAAACTAAACAAAACTAATTTTTAGCTTTTTAAAATAAATGCCCAAAATGACTCCCATTATTTTGTAAGCAATAGTACAAATTCCCTTCGAACATTTTAAAATATTTGTCGTGGAATAAGTTTTGTAGACCCCATAAGAAAAAGTCTAATGTTGTCAGATCTGGACATCTGAGAGGCCATTCTATTGGTCCTCTTCTACCAATCCACTGTTCTGGATAATTCTGATCCAGCCAAGCCCTAATAGCTACTACATAATTAGGTGGTGCCCCATCTTGTTAAAAATGTAATTTTATTTAAAACTAGTTCATTATCCTTTCCTCTTTGATTAGTTTTTGATTAGTTCATTTATTATTAGTGTCTCATCTAACATTTCAAAATAAATTTGACCATTCAAATTGCGGCCTTGTATTATACCCTCTTTTTATTTTATGTAAACAATAGTTATATATATATTTAATTGAGAAATTTATTGATTTTGATTTTAATTTTTTGCTAACTACAAAACGAGATGTCGTGGGTTCGAATCCCACATTGGTATGTTTGTTTATTTGTGTTGTGTCCTTCGGAGGGGACTTTAAGCCCGCGGTCCGTTCCTACCCCTAACCCGCACAAGCCATTCAGTTGGCTTCAGGGACTAAAAGAGCAAAAAAAAAATGTTGGTCAATAAATAAGGGACCAATAATAAAAATTCCTGTTCAGACTTTAAGTTTTTCAGGATACTGGGTATGATTTTCTCTGATGAGATGAAGTTATCGCTAAACAAAATGTTTTTTAGTATTTGGATCTAATTTGTTATTTTAATGGTCATGATTTCACAATATTTTTAATGACAGGCGTTTAGAATTTTGTGAGGCCAAGTTCTTGTATAATATGAATTTTGAATGGGTGGAATTTGAGATGATTCAACACCTTCCTAACAGACAATATTTGATAACAAAAATACTTTTATTATAGGTATTTTATTTTATGTTAAAAATAAATATTTATTAATTTGTATACCGATTTTTTATTTGTGAATTAACATTTTTATGTATAATAATCTACTATCTTCAACTTTAATCTAATCTGACTTATTACACAAAATTTTCCTTTTACTTTTACTTTTTATGAAATAATTTCATACAACTGGTTTAGAGGTCAAATTGTTTATTTAATATTTTTAAATAAATATATATTAATATGACGCAAAATTTATTAAGGGGACGACAAATACATTTCACTGTCATATTATGATTTGTCGTCTCCTGAAGAATTTTACGAATGTAGAATACAACATATTAGAACGTGGGTATTTGGAAATATTCTCAAAAGCTTCCTAGAAGATCCGTAAGAAACCTTCTAAGAACATTCCAAAAACGTATTCTCAAAATGTTCTTGGGATGCTTTTAGGAAGGTTTTAAGAAGCTTTTAAGAATCTAATTGCATCATTAAAAGGGTATCTATTGAATGTTTTAAGAGTCCCTAAGAACATTCTTAGCAATAAGGGAAGGTTCTAAGAATATTCCATTATTCCGGGTCATATCTTCTTAGAAGATTCTTAAAATCAAATTTTGCTATCAGGGGTAAACCATTTTGAAAAACAAACAATATTATTTAAAATATTAAAACTAATCAGCATGAATAGCAGTCTTTTTGTAAATTTTTTGTAGTTTGTATAAATCTAATACAAAAAATTCATCAAAAACATACAACATTCCATTAAGGATTGTTCAATTATAACAATAAATATATTTAGATACAAAAATTTTAACGAAGTTATTTTTTGCATTTAATTTAAAAAGCTAAAAATTAAAGTATTTTAATTATTGTTGAACAATTTATTTATTTATGCTTTTTTAGTTTACTATACTTTTGTTGGAATTATTTTGTGTTATCCAGTTTTTTTACTAATGTTTTTACAACAAAATGGTTTAGTTGGGGTGGCTACAGCTCAAGGGGTTGCAGACTTATTGCTGGTTTTTAAATAGACACATGTATAATAGTAGGCACAAATTAATTTATTTTTAATCGCTACAAAGTTAAGTTAACAAATGCAAAACGCAAATGATGCTTGAAGCCTTGGACGGTGTGTCGTAGCCACTGTAAAATATCCCCACTTCCCCAATGCAATCAGATGCACATAGTTTGTCATCTGTTTTGAATACATGTGTTATTGAGACAAATCTTAACTTATTTTTTCAAATTCAGCATTTTATTATAACACTATCTAAAAATATTTAAGAATTGCCCTTATGACGTCAATAATATATTTTATGACCTAACCTTTGGCACATGCCACACAGTTAAGACCGGCGACGTTAAATTGCTAAATTTGTTTTCAATTATAAATTAACCTAAATTTTAAGGTCGGGGTTGACGAATTAAAATTAAAATTTACATTTTTTTCAGGATGTATTAGTGCCATGGCATTTACCAAAACAAATAAAAAATCCAGATTTTCCCATTAGTAAGGATGTTTTTGATTATGATGTATTAAGTATTTACAATGGCTCATATTATAATGCTAAGGAAGAAAGCAACACAAATTTCAAGTAAGAATTAAGAAAGATGTTTAAAATAACTTATTGTTTAATAAATGTAACTATTTTTTTCAACAAAATCTTAAAGTAACTCTTGTTCTTAAGTCGGTGAAAATTTTTATTTGTAGTTAAATACGTGCAATTTGATCATAAATATGCAAGAAACACGCCAGCAATAGGATTTTATTAAGACATTTAACAGCCGGGAATTGTTTTCGAATCTTGATTCTTGGTGATTTTGGTTTTATCTGAAACTTAAAGTTGACAACTGAATCACAATCAGGAGTTCAAAATTATGAAGAAAACATATTACGAACGTAAATATCGGTTTAGGTTTAGTTTTTGTAAATTTTCACAAAAATTATGTTTTCCAAAAATGGTCTTAGTGGCCCTCTGAAAATAATGGAAGTTTGTTGCTTGTCGCTTGTTCAGAATTATTTAAGGAACAATCTTTCACCATCTTATTTTCTTAAAAAGTGTATTGCCTACCAAAAAGCCTAAAATGTACTCTTTTGGAAAATTCCAGTTCGAAAATTTTTAAAAAGAACGAACTTTTTGGCCGCGACACATTGAGTGGTGCGCAGTTTATTTGCGTATCGTATCGTAATGATGTATTCATCAATATGTTTCAATATACACATTTAATTTTTTCCAGTATTTTCGGCCGGGTTGTATTTTCGGCCGAGGTAGTAAGAAAAATAGTATACACTACACGGGTAGAAAGTGTGAGATTCCTGCACTGCGCGCCATGATGCCCTTGTAGTGTAATATACTGTTTTCCATCTCTTCCAAACTTGTAATTTTATAATAATTCATTAGCGACTGGCTTTTCTTAAAAGGTCATTTAAACATTAGTGAACAAAATTAAATCCCATAATATCTTTGACTTTGCTGCTCATCATTCTGATGACCTTTTTATTTTATTATTATTATTATTCTTTTTATGTAATGTAAAGTTTTAAAAATCAGATTTTTGGAGATTACCAGACTTTTATTATTTTGTTTGAATATACGTAATTAGACAATTTTGTTCTATAAATAAATACATGAATTTTTTAATTTTGTAGGTCCCAAAAAGAAATAAACAAGAAAAGAAACAAATTCAGAAAACGTAAATCCTTATCAACCGATTCAGACTCACTGACGGGATCAGAAACCTGTTACAGCTTTATTAGAAGAGCTTTACAGAAATTATCTGGTGGAAGACGATTAGCTGTAAGAATCTCTGGAAAATACAAAATATATCATCATAATTTTTAATATCCTTTTAGATGAACAGGCCTTGGTTTCTGGAAAACTGGTCAAACTGCACGAAAACAAACAACCAAAAAAAATACATGGACACCGACGTCTGCGATTGTTATGACTGCATAGAAAACATAAAAGATTTGCCAATAGAATTACGAAGAATCGACGATTTCGATGTACAACTAGATATAAAATTTAATTCAGCATCAACAACAACAATGTCTTCATTCAATGATGTTTCCATCAGGTCGAAATCAGTGTCTAACTTGAGACTTTCAGAGACAGAATGCAGGTATAAAAACTTTCTTTGACCATAGGTGCCATCCCACTGGGATAAATAATATTTCTACAATACTACTGAACGTTACAATTATTAGGTTAATGTTACAAATACCCCTGTGGCAACTTTCCTGCAAAAGCCTTATGTCCGGCTCAGCAACATTGTAATGTTGCTAAAATGTATTTTATATTTTATAAATGGGTCAGAAGCAAAGGGTGTTAAAATAATTTAGACCAACCAAAATTCTATAGGTATCTGTGACAACTTTGAAGATATACAACCTCACTTTAATAATTGTTATTATAATTGTTATGTAGCGTTTAATAAATAAAACTGCCCACTTGAAGATAAAATGTTGTATGGCATTCGAGAGACTTTTTGCGCTTTGCTTAATTGTAGGCCTCTTCTAACGCGTCGGACTTCCAACTTTGAGCTCAGCACAAAAATACTCACTTCTCAGCCTTATGACATAAATAACTACTATTAGTAAACTCTGCGACCATTTCAGAAATATTTTGTAAGGATTCTATCCCAGTGGGACACTTGCTTTGTTAAGTGTTTTGGTACAATATTACGATTTAAATTTTCTTGTAATATAAAAAAACATGATATGTTTAAGATCTGTCTCTAAACAATCAAGCATGGACGAAGATGTAAAATCTACGAAAAGCGAGGATGTCAGTATTGCCAGCACAAATTCACTAAAGAAACCAAAACTGGTGAAACAAAAAAAGAGTATTTGTGAGGACGAAATGGACGAACTATTGGATGAACCCAAAGATATGACGTCTTCAAACAACAGTCCTCCAGAATATAAAGTCTTACATGAGAAATATCATCAAAAACGTAAAGGAAGTATTTTTCTTTAATATATTTTTTAATTTGTAAGTTTTCTAGAAAGGAAAAGTGTTTTAAAGCAACGTTCCCTTAATGAAGAATTAATGTCTACCGACAGGCTAAAGGAGAAAGAACAGTTAAAAAGAAACATCCAAAAGCAGGCATCATTAAATGAAGAATACATCACTCAACGACACGTGTTTGATTCTATTAAAGACTCTATTTTTACGTCAAAGGGTTTTCACTTTATTAAAATGGAGTTTACTAATAAAATTAAAAACTCAACTACAAACATAGAAAAAGTAGCAGGTAGACTACAATATTTCATTAGCTTAAAGGACCTTTTTAAAATTGTTATTATTGGTTTCAGGTTCTTCGTTAAAAAACGGTTTTGTAAGGATATTTCAAAATTGGAAGAACAGCGATCTTATAAGTCCCACGATTCCGGAAAATGAATCCATGGATACTTTTCGTAAAAAACTGCCGTATATCGAGGAAAAACCTAACGAAAACACCGAGAGGCGTTCTTCGAAAGAAGAAAGCAGTGATAGCAGTAAGGATAGCTCACTACAGAGTGATACTAGCGTAGATAGTGAAGACTCATTTGCATCTGTAAGTATACTGAAATATACAAGCTATTTAGAGACTCTTCTATAAAATTTAACGGTTAAATTCTATATAGGTTTCCACATGGGTTTCTAAAATAATTTACTTGTCATATTATGTTTTGAAAATTATAGTATAACGTTTTTCTTTAATTTTTAAATATTAAAAGTAATATAGTAGATTTCAATACATCTATTTATAATGGTGGGATAAAGTGATTTGTCATTAGAGTTTGAGGTTTTCATTAGAATCCATTAAAGTATTACCTGAAAATATGTTCTTTTTAGGTGATTTACGTCCCCAAATCCGAAAACATGTCGCCGATATTATCCCCAGGACCAATTTCCCCCAGATGGAAAACAACCACAGCAGGCTCAAGTCTATTTAGCTCTCTACCGAACTCTCCCAAAATAAAACAGTCCAGTTGTCCTACTAGTCCTAAATTTAAGCAACTTCCTCTAAGCTTATACCCTCTAACAAAACAAATGAGCAATCCCAAGCCCGCTACCGACTTTCATTTCTGCGAAAAAGCCGACAATGAGTTCAGTTACAAGGATGTCGCACCAAGCACTAAAAGGCAACTTAACAAAACCCTGGCACAAAAATACTCAGTTCAACAAATACCTAAGTTTAGGAGGACAGTTAACAATACTCCTTCTATGGCGAATCAAGCCGTAGAAACTAAAAGTAGTACCAGTAATAGTAACAATACTACCACCATAGAAATTCCAATAATAACACAAACGATGTGCGAAAGTCCGGAGCCCAAAGAAACCCCACCAGTCGATAGTAGAAACGAGCGTCTGAAGAAAATTCGCGAGATCCTGTCTAAGAATCCTAACTTTGGCTCCCGGACCAAGGACAAATCATTTCCGATAGTTAGAAGAAGTTCCATCACGAATGGAAAAGTAGAAGCCGTAGCCAAACCCCTCCCAAAACTGTTAAATTTAGAGTTATTTAACCCAGCCGTAGACGATTTAGATAGCGACTCGAGTTGTATATCATCTCCCGATTCAATTTCTGATAATTTTATGGCTATAAATTGCGAAAAACAATCAACAATTGGTAAGCAACATTTTCTCTCACTTCCTTTTTAACTTTAGTTTAGTTAAAACCAAAGATGTACTCTAAAACAAGTTAAAAAATTTATGATTTTGAAAATAAATACAGTCGTGGCAAGGGAAAAACTAATAATGTGTATGCCCTCCTCTGATTCTCAAAACTTCGACACAACCTCTGGTGTAGATTTTATGGGTTAAAAATATTGTTTCATTCCATACCTGAAGATTATTAGGCTGTTCTGGATCCCGCAATCTGCCCTGTAAGACTTTTCTTTTGAAAAAAGTTTTGAACAATTATTGCAGTGTATGCATTACCTGTTGTAAAATAAAACTAGGGCCTTCTACATTTTTAAATGTATTAAGCTTGTCTACAAAACAATTTATTATGGAAGATTTATACAATAAAATATTTTAATTTTTTTTTCTTGTTTCCTCTTTGGTTGTGCTTTAGTAGGTACCCATGGATATGAATAATGCAAATGTTATATTTTTAGGCCTTCCAGACGCAGTTTATGGCCCTGTATATCCCATGAAAAAGACTTTATTAGAAGCAGCAGCTGATGTAGCAAATTCTTTGGACCAAACCGTACAAAAAGTAATTAAATATAGTCCTAAGGCCAAGCGGAAAGTGGACACGAACGAAGTAAGTTGCAGTAGCATGTTTTTTGTAAAATGATTTATAAGAATGCATTTTGCAAATTAACCGTCACAAGAAATTAATTTATTATCATATTATTTATTATCAAAGACTTTTCAACTGCCTATAATCTTAATTGGAGATTTTAATGCTAATTTTGCTTTGAAGAAAGCTCAACCGTTGATAGATTTTTTAGATTGTGAATTTAACTTTTAAGTTAAAACAAAAAATGATTGCAATACAGGGTGTCACCCTGTATATCCACTATGAGTAGTACTCATTGAGTACAATATATGCTGTTAAGTGAGTTAGCTAAAATTACAAATAAAAATGCTTTTTTAGGTTATGTCGATTTTACAAAGAAAGTATGTGGACAACGAAGTGCTATCGGAAAGCTTCGCCTGGCCGGAAAACTGGAACGAAGAGTGCCACAAGCATTTAACCGAATTCGCCGAACAAATTAGTGAGAAGCTGTTAAAGCAAATCGACCACTACGAGGAGAAAAACGAAGCGTGCAACGAGTCTGGATACAGCGATGCATACATTGCCAGGTACGGAATTTGTATATTGTTTGCCGAGCATGAAATCATAGCAATTACTTCCGAAGAGTTTCCGAGCGAGCCGACAGGCGAGTGAAGGAATTCATTGAGGGTGTAATTGCGATTCCACGCGAGGGAAATACACAATTAAGGTACCCTAAAAAAAACTTGTCTCAGAATTAAAATCTGACGTTTAATTAAATTATGACATTTACATTCAATGTCAATCACACTGTAGCGTCGCGACGCGTCGTCATGGTAGCGGTAGGTAGGGAATGAAACAGGGTAGGGAATGAAACATTTCTTACCTGATAACAGGGAGGGAATGAAAATATAAGATTGAAGTGGTCAATACAAGAAGTGCCTAAGTCACATTTTTAATGAAATTAGCATTGTGGCCATCTGAGAGTGTTTCACGTAAGCTTTCAGGTGGTATTTGCAGAGTGGCAAAAATATGTGTCTAAGTGCCTTAGTTTGCAAATACTTAAATGGAAGTTAACTTGGTTTTTAATGCAAGTCACCTAAGTCACCATTTTGACAGATGCAATGCAACATGTGCCTTAGTCCACGTTATTTAAATTAGGTTATATCCATAGATAAAATACTTTTATCTGAGCAAATTACCTATTAAGCTGTGGTAATCCTAATAATTTGTGTCTGTGAACAAAAACATGACTATGGCAGGTAAAAAAGTAGAATAAAGCAGCATTTTTGGTTCCAAAAACCATTGCCAAAGTGGTGATAACTTAAATTAGTTAAGTATACTAAACAGCTCCTTTAATTTTTACTTAAAAGTAATTTTAACTTTTAAATAGCAATATTTTGTAACAGTAACTTAATTTTTCCTTAAATGGTTACTATAAAGTAATAAACATTTAAGTAAAACTTGGTTGCCCCCAAGAAGACTTTGCAACTTTAAAAAAGGTGTTATAAGTAAAAAAAAAACTTTCAAGTAAATTTAATTTGTAGCAGTTACTTTCGGTTGCTACCTAAAGATTACATTATAATTATTTTTACTTTGTAGTCCCTTTCCAAGTTAAAATCTCGAAACTGGAACATGAGTTAAAAAATACAAAGTTAATAACTTAAAAGTTATTATTTTAGTATTTGGAACGTTTATGGTACTAACCAAAACAACCGTAAAGTGGAAAAAAACTTTAAAGTAGCGAAAACTACTTCAAAGGAAAATGCTTCTTATCGGCCATTTTTTACTGTACAGTACCACGTGGTAATGTAAATAATAAATTATTTTAATTGTTTGTAAATGGTTGTTTACTTTTTAATAAATAGTAATTTTGTTGGCAATAGACGGTATTAATAATGAAATCAAAAAATTAATAATAAATATTAAATTTTTTTTATTTATAAACATTATTAAATAAATAATTTGTTTATACTTAAATATTGATGAAGCGCATTTATTTTACAAAAAGTAAATTCATAAGTTCAACAGTAAAATTTAAAGGGTTTATAAATTTACCTGCCTAATTAAACATTATATTGTTATTCTGGAAGTTATAAACTACCAGTACATATTTAATAAACGACGACATTGAAAAGCCAAGTCCGTAGTGGTTCCATTTAAAAAAGGAGGGATAGTATAATCTAATATAAGTTTGACAAAGACAGTTAATATAGAAGTAAAAACAAATAAATAAAAGTAATTATAACGCTCTAGCAACGATTCTGGAACGTTCTAGTAACGTAGCAGCTACGTTCCAAATAGTAGCAGGGTTTATAGCTATAGCTGAAAATTTTTCTCTGTGTATATATATATATATACACAGAGAAAACTATAGTTACATATTTGCTACCTTTTTGGAACTCAATAATTGTTCCCCACTTTAGTCGTAACTTAGTAATAAAAGAGTAATATAAAGAGACCGGCGACTGTCGCAAAACACTTTAAAGTTTCTTCAATAGTCCCATATACGTAACAAATACTTAAATTGTTGCTTGGGAAACAGCTTGTGTTACCTTTCAACATACTGGTAACCGTTTTTTACCATGGATATAGGTATAATTTTTTTTATTATTCTTCTAACATTTACTTCATCCCAAGCTCACAACCTTAGCAATCCCATTCACATGGAACCAATCTAAAAATTAGGCAGTTAAAATTTAACAACGTAACCCATCTTGTAAAGTACGTTCAATCATTAGACACTGAATTTTTTGTTTGAACCTTGTCTCAAAATGGTAGTATAATTTAGCATAATGATGCCATTGATGAAGAGTTTGATCAGTTACAAGAGGCCGACGCTATTTATGATAAGCCAGCCTTCTTATTATGTTCTTAGTTTTGCTTTAAGTTAAGTTTTACTTATCACGTTGTAATCTTTTTCTTTAAGCGTTTCTTGTTATGTTTTTGTACCTAGTCTTCAGTTTTGTTCACACATTATGTATTTTTTACTTTTAAATTATTTTTTTCTTAATATAGTCTTTCATTTTTGACAAAATAAAAAATTTAAACACAAAGTGCCCAAGTCAAAAATTATATATATTTTGTAGATAAAACAAAAACGTTTTTTCTTTTTTAATTATGGAAGTCAAATCCACTTTCTACCAGGAATACAATACAACACACATTTTGATCATAATATTTTGTGCAATATTCAAACCTCAATATCTCAGAATCACCTATTTGTGACTAAGGCACTTCTTGCATTGACCCCTTCAATTGCAAATACAATCGGCGCATTATTAACTACTAGAATTTTTTTTTGGAGTGGTTGAATAAATTAAATTTTTTTTTTTAATTTACTACCTATTTTTTTTGTTAATTGATATTAACCACTGTTCAGTGATTTTAACACATAAATTCATATTTTTAGTACAATTTAGATTAAGAAATGTATAGAGTATTCCAACCAACCTACGAAAACTCCTGACTTAGACGTGTCATTGGCCAAATTGAAGGAAGTATATAGGAAAATTTCTAAAAGCAAGATTATGTCAGCAACTATTTCTTATGGAGCTGCACAATATAAACTTTATATTTTAATGAAAGTACGCGTTTTGGCATCGATTTGGGTGTTGCTTTAAGTAGTTAAAATTGTTTTAAAACATTATGATTAGTATATACCTTAGCAAATCATAGTAAACATATACTTAACCCAATTGACGTATGATATATTGGTTCTGTTTTGCTTTAGGTTATCAGAAGAACTGAACGACCTGACGAAGATAAGCAGCGAGATCCAGAAGCAGAACGAATACTTGAACAAGCTGAGCTCAAAAGACAAAAAGCTTATGCAGAAAAAAGAGAGGCAGAAAAAACTTTTATGCGACCAATGTGATAAACAACAGCTCGGTAGTACCTGTAAAGAAAGTAGTAGATTAGAAAATTGTACATGCGAAAATCGAAGTCAAAGTGATATTAAATTTAAAAGTTTAAAAAATGTAAGTAGTGACAACACCGCCAGCACAACCCCATCTACAACAAGTTCATCGGCGACCTTAGTTAAGGATCTAGAGATGAAATTAAATGGCCACGACAATATTAGCGAACTTAGTAGTTGTAGTAGTAACATCAACGCAAGCGATAGTAATGGTTTCGAAGAGGATCCGATTCCACTCAATTCTAACCGAGGACCTAGGAAGTCCTTAACCAAGAATGGTGGAAAAACTTGCGAAAATACAAATTCTGGTAAGTTAAATTCATATTCCTTATTTCCTATAAAAATATTGAGTAAATTTTCTGGGTATAATGAGTATGAGGAACGAATAGCTGGCGCCATCAGCGCCATCATACACTGATTCAGAGTTAATTTTACCACATTTCGGTTCTTTCACGTATCCTACAACTGCACAGCATTACCTGTGATTGATAGATACGAAGTTTAACCCCGGAGATCGTGGACAAGTGTCGATGGTTAAGACTCCCCCCTGAATTTTGTCGCCGAGCCAGTTTATACGCCCAAATAGGCTAGTGTAATTTGAGACAAGAAAGAAAAACCTTTTTCAGAAAACGTTAGACTGACCCAAATTTAAGTACAATCCGGAATCCCCCTTAACCAGAGGTTTCTTCTTCTTCTTCTTCCTTAGATTTAATGGCCTCAGCGTACTTAAACACTATTTGGCCAGCACATTTTATTTTTTAATTTTCTTTACTGATCAAGGGTCTCATTTAAGAGAATCTGAGTTTAACTCATCCCTTGAATCATTTATCTACTGGTTAATTCAATTTTTTATATCACCATGTTAAATTTTCTTTAACCATGCACCATATGGCTATATGCACAGCAATTCTTCAAATATTTCAATCTTAATTCATCCGTTTCTTTTTTCGAGTATTTTCATATATTTATATATTTCTGATTAAAGCCAGTGTATTTCTACCCTGGGAATCCGATCTCGTCCCTCCTGGGTCGCAAAGTCACTTATATTTCAATTCTTTTTCTTAGAGCAATAACGCACACCACCAGGGACGAAACCGAGCTGAACCAGAGATTTAGTATCATTCACATTTAATTGGGGGTTCATGAATTGGGCTTGGTTGGTTAATCCGCTGTAGAGACCTATTTTGCTTTTTGAGGTACCTACTTCTTGTTTATCTGCTTTCGTGTCTCTTCTAAAAATTACTATGCGGAAAATTAGGAAACCCCTGTACACAAATTGTTGCCCCACTGTGTAAAAACCGTTTCTTGACTTCAGTGTTGCTGTCAACGACTGCTCATTATTCCATGTACTGACTTCAGAGAAGATTCAGCCATATTTGCCAGTCGTTGTTTGCTTGCTGAAATTATAAACAGATGCACACATTTTATTTAACCCAATCGTGCGTTTTTTTAAAGATAATACGTTCTTTATGAGACCACTTTGGTTGGTTGGTACCTAATTTATGGCCTTTGTAAACAAGCTTTTTAGGCGCCGAGTTTATTTATTTAGGTTGAACGTGCTTAAGTGCTTCTTGGTTTAGATTCTGGCGCACCTAAAGTTGATTGAATTAAGTTGCTGTTTAATTAAATTTGTATGTGTTGCAATTGCTATTGGTCATGAGATTAATTAAATGTACTTATCAGTTTCTGTAGGAGTCCCTTAGTCCCTATTTCCGCTTTTGTTTTCCACGGTGATCTTTAGGTATGCATAAACAGAGATAACGCTGGCAAGTGGTAATAGCCAGGTACGGGGAATCATGTCACTTATCCACTTATCTGTATCCGTAATATTATCCACTATATTACTGCACTTTTGGTTTAAACTGTGAGTAATTGGTTATTCTTTATTTAAGTGGTTATGCCATTTTTATTTTATTCAAATAATTTTTATACAAATTTAATCTGATAACTGGGGATGTTTCTTGAAATTTGTGAATTTAATTTCTATAGAAAGCAATTAACCAATCAGAGCACTGCATTCCCTATCGTAATCTAGTGTGCTGTGGAGAATGCCGTACAATAAATATTGAACTTTTTATTCATTTATTTCTCTACTTTTATTAATTTGTTTTCCATTTTGTCTAAATTTCGTTAGATATAAACAATTTTACCATTGTTTTTTATCTTAGATTTAAATAATTTGTTATAAAATTTGCCATTTAAGGGATTTACCAAATAATTTTTTGTAAAGAATAATGAGTTCTGTAGTTTCTGTGGGTATTTACATTAATTCAGGATATATATTTATTGTTAGAAGGTTTACGCTTTTGCCAGCACATATGTACTGCGCTAACTATAAAAGTTGACTTTTACATTATATTTATTTAGTGTCAAAACAATATTTTTTGTCCACAGAACGTAATAGTTATTTGTGTTGAAAAGCGACTTTTTCATGCGAGCGTTTAAGTTGCTCACGAGGCCGTTAGGCCGAGTGTGCATTAACACGAGCTTGAAGAAAGCTTTTCTCACAAGTGAAACACAATGTTTTTTCTACGACCCTTTTATTTTTATTATATTCAAATACAAAACAAAATTACCTGTTTGACAGGTGTTAAAATTACTTTGATCTTCTTTTAATTTTTAAGGTATAAGTTACTTAAAATCAATAAACTTACCTTCTCAATTTAAAAAATAAAGGCACTAAAGTTGGAATTTATTATACAAACACAATTAATTGTGTTTCAAATGATATTTAGACATCCATATCTATACAAATACAATACAAATTTTGAACCGAATGTCAAACGATGCTGTCAATTTCTTTTCACACAGAATAGTATATTCTGTAACAAGTTTGGAATACAGCATATTCCGCTCGAGTGAAGAGTTTGTCACAGGAGCCGAAGGCGAGTCTGACGGTTTCACGAGAGCGGAATATGAAATTCCAAACGTGTTTCAGACTATACTTTTTCTACGTTTCCAAAAAATACCATAGAAAAATAATTTAATTGGAAGAAAGTGAGGTTGGATCGGTATAGAATTTGTTAGATATTAAAAACAGAGATGTCGCACAGTGGGAGGAATTTCAAAAATCGCGGACAAAATTAGGGACACATTATTTTGAACTATTTTAAGGTTTATGCGGTGGTAAATTTATGCTAAAATATTAATATTAATAAAATGTTTTAATTATGTACACAAATTCACAAATTTGTTTTAAACAATTTGGAAAAGTTCGGTTTTGTCGATCCATTCTCCAAAAATATAAATTAATAAACAAATATATTACGCAATATTACCTAAGCTAAAAATAGAAAAATAAACAAAAAAAAACAATAAAAATTAAGGAATGTTCGAGCAAAATCATTTATATATGTACATTTTTTTTCGTTTTTCGTTTTTGCTTTGTAAATTTCGCATCTTTTGCTTTATTTATATCGACTACTAAAGTGACTTGGTCCAAAAAAACCCTATATCGTTGTTAAAATAACACTTAAAAGTTGATTTAAAAGCAAAACCGGTTAAATCCACGTTTTTTACCTACTCTCTAAAAATGAATTAGTCAAAAATGACTAATTTAATAGTAATTATTGGCCACTTGTACCATAGTTAACCATGGAATATAACGGTATCCCAAAATTTAACATCCAATTCTTATGTAAAATTGTCCCCTGAATCCGAAAATGCCATAATTATGAAAGTGGAGCAGTTTTTGAAATATAGTCAATTCCATATTAAATGAAAAATTGACTATATCTCAAAAACTGTTTTACTTTTTTAACTTTTGACGATATTTTCGGATTCAGGGGACAATATAAGATTTATCAATAATATCCAGGTTTTCGGTTAGGTACTTTAAAAGTTTGTTGTGTTTTTCTTTATTACTAACATTTTTAATAAGTTCATACAACTCCTTATTAGTCGTTGATGGCATTTCTACATAAAAAGAAGCAAGTTATTCAAATAAACATGTAATATTTATATTAATATTAATATTATAACTTACCAAATATTATTATAAAGCGTTAATAAACACAAAAACACGATGAGATTGTATGTGTGATTGACTTTCACTGGAAACTGACGTTTTAGAACTAGCAAAAGGCAACTATGATGACTTATAAATATTCGACTAATATGATAAATTCATGGACATATTTCATATTCTGCTGACCAAACAGGCAAAAAAAGGCAGCTTAATTCTTTTGATTTTAAAAAAAGAAAATTTGATGAACGTTCTGGTACCAAATACTTTGCCTCACACCAAGACACACCTAAAGAAAAATCTTGTGGTTTGTAAAAGATTTATCTACTTTGAAAGGCGATGGTAAAAGGTTTATAAAAACCGTATTTATGGTAAAATTTGCAATTTTAGACTTTTATATGAAAGAACAAGGATAAGGAATGTGGTAAAATATACCATCATTTCCTTTCATTAATTACGCAAAACAAAAATGGGCTTGAAAAACTTACATACAATTTGCTCTAAAAAATCGACACGAACAATGTGACTTTTTAAGCAAGTTTATCATAAAAAAATATATTTCTTTTAAAATCATAATCTCTGTGCTTTCATTTTTTATCTCGTAATTTAAAATTTACAATGTTGATTTTTACAAAATAGGGTTTTGTCCGCGATTTTTGAAATTCCTCCCAGTGTGTGTCGCCTCGAGTGTTTATTCTGTCATTCGATGATAGAATATTTCATTCTGTAACACTTTACGGAATAAATGTCATACCATAGATAAAAGTGATATTAGAATGACCATGGTCAAATTCCGTAATAGGAGTAGAAAAATTTCATTTTGCATTTGTGTTTTGCCTTGCCAATAAAAAAAATTGATTTTTTAAGCAACGATGCCATTACGAATTGTGACTTTTACATAGTGGTCGTAAAAAAAGTCTTTTATATTAGTTGATATGTAAGCAAGATATTTTTACATCCGTTGCTATGCAAGCAAAATACTTTTACATCCGTTTAAAAATTTTCTCTTCGCATTTTTAGTATTTTTTAAGCAGTAGGATAAAGTTTTCGTTTAATTCGTTTTATACTCGATTACGAAAAAAACTTTCATTCTCGAATGCAAGAGTGGCATTTCGCAATCTAGCATCAAAAATAACTATTTTCAAAAACTGTCATTAAAATATATCTTTCAATTTACGATTTTTATTTATTTTTCTAAGCGATCTCTTATTATTTTTGAACTTTGAACGTTGATTTTTGATATAAGTGGCCATGAAAAACTTGGGAAATTTTATTGTTATAAATAATTTTTGCTCAGATTGTTAGAATTTGAAGGTTTTTCTTTTTTAATTTATATTTTGATGAGAAAATAACGGTATAAAGAACTCGAATTATTCCGAAAATCACCAATAGGTCGCCAATAGTCCAGGTGGGTAGTTCTATGGACGGAGAGGGGGTGTTTATAAAAAGCATTTTTTGTTGAATAATAAGTATGCAGTTTTTTCAAGTGTTCAACTTGAATTTTATGTCTGCAGTGCAAAAACTGCAGTCCTCTTTGAGTTTAGACTAATGTACTCGTTCATAAGCAATTCTAAATTGTCCTTATAAGCAGCATTTCAAATAACTACAAATTTACTACTAAGTCAACGTTAAAGTATTTTTTACGGTTAACCAAAACGGTTTTATAATTACTAAATTTGGGGAATGGTTTATTTCGTTATTTTACCTACATAATAACCTTTTCGATCTACTAAGAGAATAACGTAATAAAAACAATATAGATACCACAAATTTACGTAAAAATAATGCTATAATTACTAACTGTTTGCTCTCTATTTCTAAAACATTGACATTCGTAATTTCTTTATTCTTTTAATTTATATTTTACAAAATGATACTTACAAACTAATAAACGGCACCCTAGAGTATATATTATAATATTTTGCATTAATACTCAAACGCACATTATTTTATTGATAAAAATAAGCACGATACATCTTAAAAATTATACGCCCTCTAAATATTTTATTTCCACCTTCTTAGTAAATGACATTTTATATGTTAATTTTGTTGTTTTTGTGTCCAAGTAAACGATACATTATGGGAACAGACCTGTAATATTTTACTGGCTTGTATAAAAGACCTGTAAAGTTTTACAGGCTTGTAGAAAAGCAATTTATGAAATGAAATGTCACATTTGACATTTTAATTAAAATTTTAAATTTGAAAATCGTTATCTAAAGGTGAAAATAAAAGTTTGTACTTGTCACGCTTTGCAATTAATCTTTACTAGGCTCACTAGATTATGGGTTCGCTCCTGCTCGCCCGTAAAGATTCATTTACAAAGCTTGACACGTAAATAACTATTACGGTTTTAAGAAAAATTATTGCTTGAGTAAAAATTCAACAAGTTTTAATAATTTTTAATAACTAAAACTTTCCTTATTATATTTTAGAAAAATATTTAAGAAAAAATATTATATAAATGTTTAGATAAGTAATGGATGCCATCTTAAAAAACTCATTATAGCGACCTGAAATAATTTTTCCCTTAAAGTTTTATTTTTCACTTTAAGCTTATTTTTTCTTGTTTAGTTAATATTAATAGTATTTATTACCACTAATAACCCTAAAAATACCATGCGAAAATTACCGTTAAATTTTACTTTAGGTGAAATACACTTATAAGTAATTTTCTTTCGTAAAAATTATGTCCCTCATAATAGGGTTATTAAAATAGGTAAAAATAACATAAATAAAACTTATTAAATAACTTTAAAACATATTTTACTGCAAAGTAAATTTTTAAGGTTAATTTAACAAAATATTTACTTAAATTAAGTAATATTGCCTCAAACCTTTACGCTTTTACTTATCTATCTACTGCATCTGGATAAGAATGCAGATTTGCTATGTCATTTAATCGATTTTGAGTAATTGTCAAACGTAAATAGTTTTTGACTCGCTGCAGTACAGAAAACTCCTTTTATTTGGACATGATGAACCGGGTATAGTCATTAGCAGTCTAATAAATCGGGAATACTCAGGAACAAGTCCCACACACCAATCATTTTTCGGCACGAATATTACGATATTATCCAAATTCTGTACTTTCTTTCCGCTTCGTTCCATAATATTTAAAGCTACACTTAACCTGAATTCATCTGTACCTTCTTTATAAAACATTATGATTTCCTTTACATTTTCGGCAGTCACTGACGATAACATTTTCAACGATTTAAAAAAATTTACTGATTCGGTATCGAATTAATACTTTAAAGAGAAAACGACTTGATCAAATATTTCGCAAAATATTTTGCGATAATATTTTTTTGGGTTTTGAAAACTATGATTTTTAGCATTTCCATCATTAATTCTTTTGGGAATTTTTCGTTTACGTGGCAAAGTAGGTTGCCCTATATTTTTTAACAAGGTTGTTACTGTTCATCCAAATTTTATCAAACTTCTTATCGTGTGAAGTCACAGCTTTAATTTTTTTTAAATGAATCTAACACACAAAGTTCCGAATTTTGAAGATCAAATATCTCGATTATGAACTGAACTGTTCCCATATGTTCTAAAAAACCGGAAAGCTTGGCCAAATTTCCAGGTGGGTAGTTACCCACCTTGGAGAAATCCAGGTGGGTAGTACCATTTGTACCCACCCTTTTCACCGGCCCTGCTCTCATGAATGGATTTTCGATTCCAACTAAAACTTCGGAGTCGCAGCCTTCTTTCATTCATGTTTACCTATTATTAGTTACTGGCGATAAAGCAATTTGCTAGATAATTATTTTATAGTTATAATTAATTAATTGAAATAAACATTTTGAGGAGGCTGTCTCCCTTGTCTCGTCTGACAAGCCGCCACTAACTAATTTCATTGTTTTAGGTACAAAAGCTTTATCGACGTCTTCGACGTTCAACAAATCCACCGACTCGTCGGACAGCATCGAGTCGGTCATATCGAACAAAACAGGTCAAGGAAAGGAGAGCAGCGAAGAGACAAAGTCGCAGCGATCGCTCGACTTTAGTCTAACCAGCAACGAGGGCAGCACTGCCAGCCTGGCCAGCAATATGGAATGGAAGAACATCAAGACGACGACGCCTGGCGGCGGGACGACGAGCGATTCGAAAAAACCGCGGTTGCAGAACACGAAAAAGAGCTTTAATAATTCTAGCATGGACGAATTAAGTGAGAAATTGCTGGCCGAACACAACAATGAAAAGTCCAGCGAATCACTGGACTCCATACAGTCGGAAAAAAATTCCGGAGGAGAGATTACTTTTCATAGATATTATCACGTTTTTAGAGAGGGAGAGCTTGATAATTTAATCGAAAAATACGTTGAAAATTTACACATTATTAGTAGTTATTATGATCATTCATCTTGGTGTATAATCGCTGAAAAAGTTCGAGTCTGGACGATTTAACTTGTTTTCAACACCTATTTTTCGAAAATCAATAACCTTTTCTCATTTATTTATATTGTATATACGTAAAATGAATAAAAATAGCTTTATTATGATCGACAACATCAACATTTGTTTATTTAAGCACCTCTTAATGATGCAAAGTAGTTTCCCCAATTATTATCTATATTGTAACGTTTTTACTGTTCGTAGTGTGAATAAAAACACGCACTTCACTGGTTTATTAACGAACTAAACTATTTATTTTATAACTTAATTACACTTAAAACACTAAGAAACTATAAAGCTAACTAAACACTTAACTACTAGTTATTTATATATCACTACAGTAGTAACTATTCAAGAGTATTTATTTGCACGTATATTTATTTATTTCGTCGAGATTACCAAAACTTGGTGCACTGTTCCTTATATATTCAGTGCCTACGTGACACCAGTCACGCAAGCGCTTTCCCGAATATTCCAGCGAGCTCCGGACCGCTCTCGATCGCTCGAGCGCCGACTCACCGGCGATGATTCATCGCGATGAGTCATCATTCCGAGATCCAAAGCGCTACTCGCTACAATATTTACATATTTTAAAAACGTGTCAACCCGTCGCACATACGGGATGCAATATTAAAAGCTGGCCAAAAGTAAAAAAAAAATCAAGTCCCCATTATAATACTGGCAGTATTAAACATCATTTTCTGATAGTCAAGAATGACTAGATAATCAAATTTAAGAAATCTCTTCAAAAATCAGCTCGATTAAAAAAAATTTTGGACCGCTCACGAATTTTGAAAATTACAAAAGTATTCAAAATTTGATTCTTGTATTTTCTTAGCATGGTCCCGATTGACCCATAAAAGTGCTATTTTTTGTTTAAAAAATCATTAAAAAAACATTATTTTTATTTGTATAGATATATATTTTACTTACCGTTTACAGAACACTTAAATCACTTCAATCTTCCAGGCAGTTATGAGAATGAGTATGGGTATGAGTATAAAAACGTATCGCTGGCCACATCGGCATCGCCTTACACTGATCTCCCAGAGTTATTTTTACCTTCTCATACGTATCCCGCAACTGCACCGCATTACCTGTATTTGATGGATCCGAATTTTCACCCCGGCTGGTAAATCTCTCATAGGAGGTCGTGGTTGACAGTTTAGAATCTAAACTTTGGATGGTTAAGGCCTCCCGGAATTTTGTCGCCGGGCCGGGCCAGACGCACGATTTAGGCTATTGGAGAGCGGGACATTTTGGTTTTTGGGTGACATTGGGCTGACCCAAAACTAAGTACAATCCGGAATCCCCCTTAACCAAGAATTGAATAATTCCCCCATTCGTTTGGGGTTCATGAATGAGGTTTGGTTTGTTAGTAGGCTGCTAGGATCTATCCTTGCTCATCTTGTAGTCTGCTGAAATTCGGAAACTGTTGTGAGCAATTGTTTGCCCCACTGTGGAAAGCCGTTTCTTTAGTTTAGAGGTCGAGAACTATCGATAGATAGTGTCTTCATTTTGTAGTAGAAATTGTTTTTACGTTTTCTTTTCTAACAATTAGATGTTGCATTTATATTATTTATTCTATATAATTGCTTTTAACTTTGTTATTTTATTTCTCTTATACGACACGCAGCAGGCTATTACTTTTGTTCGATGCCTAAAAATTAGAGGTGTTTAGTGGTTTATTTTGTTTATGTTTATCTTAGACAAATATCGAAAATTGTTGTTTATTTTAGTTTTGTTCGTTAAGTTTTAACCTTTTTAATTTTGTTGGGCGTTCTTGTTGCGTGTTAGGTCATGCGATTAATTAGTACTTATCAGATTTTTGCAGATGATGGCCCCTTCCACTCTTGGTTAGATTCGTTTGTTCTTTACATAAGGTGATTCATATTGGCCTGGGGTTAGATCTCCAGGTATGCTGTTACTTATCACTTAATTACTTCCGTGTCCGTATGGTCTTAACTTACTATATTCACTTGTTAGGTTGCTTTTTAATGCACTAATTTAATGTTTCTATTAACAGGTACACTGATCTTGACCAGGTAGTAAATCTTTGAACTAATTTTGAACAGTATTTTCCTTAAACTACACTGTATGAGCGATTTCTATGTTTCTTTAAGACCTATTATTATTTAATAAAAATCCAAAAAGGTGAAAATATAAGCAAACTATTGGAAATACTATAGAAAAAATGGTTACTTTGTTATATGTAATAAAAATACAAATGCAATAGTAAACTTTTCTAATATTTAATATTTAAGCATACTTAAAGTAAAGTTAATTATTTCTGCTAACTTTATATTTAGTCCAAATCTGAGCAAAATCATGGTGAAGAGATTCCAGAGCTTGCTCAGTATAAAGACCCAAACCAGATTTCCTTTTTTCACAAAATTGCTGGACATGAAAACATTTTTAATTTTTTTTTAAGAAAATCTGGTTTGGGACTTTATAGTACTATGAGCAAGCTGTGGAATCTATTCACGATGATTTTGCTCAGATTTGGTCTAAATATAAAGTTAGCAGAAATAATGAACTTTACGAAAACAGACTTTTAAAAGCTGTCAGGAAATATAACAGCAATCACATATAACTTGTTTAATCTAGTATACATTTTTACATTTACATTTTATACGTTTTTATGTGTTTAAAAAGTATGCTTAAATAATAAATATTAGAAAAGTTTACTATTGCATTTGTATTTTTATTACATCTAACAAAGTAGGTAACCATTTTTCTATATTATTCCCTGTAATGTGTTAAGGGTGTTTAATGATAAAACACTACCAATTCCCATTAACTACTTTATTTACGACCGGTCATGTCTACATTATTGTATATAACTAATTAAACATTATTTTAACTAAAACTATATTACTTATTATATTATTGCTTACTAAACTAATTCTATAGGTTCGTTGCCATTTGACTGGCAGCAGGAAGTGTATTGGACTCACTATTGCAATCCAAACACATTCTTTAGTATTTGCAAAATTAATCCATTACACCTCCCAAGGAAAAGGAAAAAAAAAAGATTTTTTTCCATTGAGAAAAAAAATCCTTTTTTTTTTCATCCATAATAAAACTTAATTCTATCTTTATGCACTTCAACTAACCTGCTGTCCATTCTTATAACTACATTAGAGTCCTTATTTTCTATCACTTTGTAGGGTCCTTTAAATATCGCTTTCTGTTTATTGTTTTCACCACAGTTTTTCAATAACACCTTATCTCCTATCTTATAGCTAACAGATTTACAATGGTTTTTCTTATCAAAATATTGTTTTCGCTTTACTTTTGATGCAATTAAATTTTTTCTCGCGTCTGCATTTGCAGTTTGTAGACGGTACTTTAATTCTAACGGGTAGTTGTCGAAACTGTATAGAGGATCTATTTCTTGGATTAAATTAGAAGGTAGTATACCAATTTTCCCAAATACAAGTTCAAATGGTGTATATTTTGTCTCAGTGTGCACTGTGTTATTGTACGCGAAACTCCAATATGGTAACCAAGTACTCCACTGAGTTGGATTGTTTAACGCTTGAATTCGTAAAAATGAACCTAAATTCTTGTGTGAATTTTCTAAAGCGCCTAGAGTTTGATGATGATATGCCGTCGATCTTAGTGAATTTATTTTTAATAAACTACAAACCTCTTGGAATATTGAAGCTGTAAATTCTGTGCCTTGGTCAGTTAGGATTTCCTGAGGAATTCCGTACCGCAATATAAAATTTTCCACAAACGCCTTTGCCACCGTTTTTGCTTCTTTATTTGGTAACGGGTAACATTCTACGAATTTACTTAATTCGCATTGCAGGGTTAGAATATAACGATTATTATCTTCGTCGTTTTCTAGTGGCCCTACCAGATCAAGCATTACCTTTTGGAAAGCTGTCATTGCTGTAGTAGTGACTTTCATAGGTTGTTTTTTATTTAAAGAATACTTACATTTTTGACAATCATCGCATCGTTTTACAAAATTTTCAACATCCTTTTTCATACCATTCCAAAAATAGTATTTACGAATATTATTAAACATACGATTTATACCAGCGTGCCCTCCTGTGGGTAGCATGTGAAAATCGTTCAAAATTAATTGTTTTATTTCGTGACTTGTAACTTTTTTTTGTCCTAATACCTAAACTTTTTATTCTACTTGGAGCTCTCAAGATTTTATTTAATATTTGTGCATTTTGTTCATTTTTTAATATTATTAATTCCGGAATTTTAAATTTCTCACATACTTCTTTCAAGTCTCTCAACGATGCATCTAGTGCGAACGCTGATCGAGTATCTTGTTTCAGATATATGATATTATCACTTACATTATAATGCACATTCTCATTTACTTTAACATTTTTATTGTTGTGTTTGTCTCGACATTTGTTTAACATTGCATCTAATTCTTGTCTATGAATAATTTGCAACTCTGCACAATTTTCGGGAGGTTTTAATAATTCTACCACTCCAGGGTGATCAGTCCCTTCGTGGGTTAAACCATTTTTTATCTCCGTCTTTTTTACCTTGCTTTGTGCCCTAGTCATTACGTTTATAGATTGACAGGTCATTTCTTTCAATAAATCTGACTCAATTTGGATTCTTGAGAGTGCATCGGCTGTTACATTTTCACTGCCCTTAACATAATGAACTGTAAAGTCATATTCCTCCAAAATGAGTCTAAATTTAGTTAAACGACTGGATGGGTTAGTCATTCCGAACAAATAAATTAATGGTCTATGATCCGTGTATACTAAAAATTTAGTTCCATATAAATAAGGTCTAAACCGTTTTACAGCCCAAACTATGGCTAATAACTCTTTTTCTATGGTAGCATAATTCTTCTCTGCCTTATTTAATGACCTACTCGCATAAGCTACAGGTCTGTCATCAAAATTTGATAGAACTGCCCCTAATGCGAATTTCGATGCATCAGTTCGTAATATGAATTTATTTTCTTTTGAAAAATTAGGATATTGCAATATGGGTGGGTTTGTAAGTATTTGTTTTAATGTTTCAAATGAATGCTGACATTCTGGTGACCACTGAAATTTTATACTTTTTCTCGTAAGTTGATTCAAAGGGTAGCAAATTTCCGCAAAGTTTTGTATAAATTT